AACATGGCTTCTTCCCACAGAGATCAACTATCACAAATCTTACAAGTTTCCTACAAAGAGCTTATCAAGCTATCAATAATAGGAAACAACTTGACGTCATATATACTGACTTTTCCAAGGCCTTCGATAAGTTGGATCATGGTCTCATTGCCCGGAAAATGTACAACATTGGGTTTCATAGGAACCTGGTGAATCTATTTATCTCATATTTGAGTGGGCGAACACAGTTTGTGGAGTACAACGGTTTTCGTTCTGCTGACTTCAGCGCTTCAAGTGGCGCTCCTCAGGGAAGCAATCTAGCTCCTCTAATATTCGCTATTTTTGTGAATGATATCACCGACACTATCTCATCTAACTGTGTACTGTTTGCTGATGATCTGAAGATTTTTAGAATTATTGACACCATACAGGACTGCTCAGAATTGCAAAACGACATTGACTCCCTGTCTTCTTGGTGTATCACAAATAAACTTCCGCTAAATATTAATAAATGCCGTTCTATGACTATTTCCAAACTTCATAATGAAGTGAAGTTTGCATATAGACTTGAAAATACCAATCTTTCAAGTGTAGATTCCATACGAGACCTTGGGGTAATTATCGACAGTAAACTGAGCTTTAATAAACATATTGACCAAATCGTTCAAGCTTCTTTGAAAACACTTGGCTTTATTATTAGGTCTACAAAAGATTTCACAAATACGGAGGGCTTGATTGCCTTGTACAACTCATTGATAAAATCAAAATTACAATATGCAGCTCTGATATGGTTTCCTAGTTATGATGTACATGTTGACAGGCTCGAATATGTCCAGCGCAGATTTCTCAAGTACCTAAGCTTTAAGCAGGATGGCATTTACCCTCCACGGGGATATGACCACAAATTATTACTAGAAAGATTTAACTTTTTATCACTTAAGCAAAGTACAATTCTTGCCAGTCAATTGTTCATTTTCAAAATATGCAATAATTTAATTGATTCGGCTGAAATATTAAGTTGCCTCAATTTTTTGGTTCCTGCAGCAAACACCCGAACTCACCATAAATTTTATCTGGAAAACTGTCATTCTAATCTCGCCAGAAATGCGCCTATATATAGAGCCTGCTCATGGCATAATCAATTAATACCCATTGTACTTGAGTTGGATCTTTTCAATGGTACTGTAAAGTCATTTAAAACTAAAATTATATCACAGATAAAAAATGCTCTCCTGAATTAAATTGCTCTAGTGATTGTTTTGATTGATTATTGAATCTTGCATTTTTGTGGAATATTGCTGATTAGCTTGGGGTTAACTTTTTGTCCTGGGGTTTTGCTGGGGGAAGCTGTTGATGCTGCTTAATATACTTAATTTACATCTGTTTTCTCTTGATTGTTAATTACAAACTATAGTTAGTTACTTCATGTATTTGTATATGAAGCATATGTCAAAACCTAGTTTTAAGTTTACAATAACATTTGTCTAGTCTTTAATTTGAGATTATTATAATTGTCTTGTTATTGGGTTTATCCTGTTAGACAATAAACAAATAAATAAAAAGTGTAAATTTATATTTTGTTAATAAAGAATAAGTTATTTGAAAACTGTTTTTTGCGTCTTTATGCCCGCGCGGGCCATAATGTGTACTTTATGCCCGCACGGGCATAAAGTAATAAATTATGTAGATGGTATCTAAGGTATAAAAACACAATAATGTATTGGTATGACATAATAGTTATTTGTTTTACTAGGCAGAAAGGTACAAAATTTAATGCCGCGGCTGGTGTTTCATAGCCGAGGCTAGGAAACCAGCCGAGGCATTAAATCTGCTTTTCTGCCATGTAAAACATATAATTTTTTCTCCGAATGTTCAAATTCACACATGGACATCTTTTTTATATTTATTTCATTCATTATTATTATCATCTTCTTGAATTTTGTGACAGTATTGCGACAATCCCTACGATTTTCCTAAGATTGCTGCGATTGCGACTGCAATCCGGGATTGTGAGGCGATTGTTAGATTTTGAAGAATTGCATTGTGACTGCATATGATTGTGAATGATTGCAGACGATTGTGAATGATTGCAGACGATTGTAGGCGATTGCGAGTGACTCAGAAAGATTTTTGGTAGCTGCTTGAGTTACTGAGTTACACTGACATATTATTATCTTAAGGAACATATTTATTTATTTTGGCCATTAGATTATAGATTTTTATTTATTAACCCACAAATAAAAATACGAGTAAAAATATGAACAAATATATTTTGCTATTCTTTCAAGGATTTCAAAGTTGTATATGGGTATGTACAGGGTCTGTTCCTTTCTTGCTCATGAATAGTGTTTATAAATAGTGTCGCTTCTACAACTTGAACAAAAAAAAAGAAATAATAAAAAAAGTTAAATACAAAAGTTGTAGGGTTTTATCTCTATCATCTTTTGCACATGCACATGTCAAAACGGGTAAATGGCAGGTGTCAACAAACATAGTGACAAACACTTGCATTTTTTCAAATGGAACACCCTGTATATTTTTGAATAAAATGATATATTTCTTCTGATTCCAAATATACCATATACAAATGTTGATATTTGGTTCAGCAGTTTTTACGATATCTAAGTTTTAAAATGCATTTACATTACCCTAAATTAGGTCGGTTCCCGGTTCCTTAAATCAATGGTCAGGCTTACTTAATGCAATTTTGTTATGGTGTACTGGACACACTGAAGTGCACACTAGCGCCACCATGCTGTGGCAGTCATACAACTCGCTGCATGAGTAAGACAAGGACAGGGAAAAAGGCCTGAGTTTCCTATCTTTAGGACGGGTTAATCTGTGACCTATACTGTCAAATTTTCAAAATTTTTCTGCATACAGTTTTTCATATATGGATCGATTTGGTTTCCGGTGGGACACCCTGTATATTTTTTGCTACTATTTGTATATCTTTATCTTGTCAAATGTAATCATCAAGACCTCTTCTGAGGAACTTCATTTTATACTTCAACATCTAACGTCTCTATGATCCGGCCAATATACCATGTATCATATGCAGCAGCATAGTATTCTTCATTTTTTAAAGACATTTCTTCACAAAATGTTTTTTCTTCTGCTCTCATTTCCCAATTCACTTTTTTCGGAATACAGCTTCGACCTTCAGAGGTTGGCGGCATCTTCTATGCTTGGAGCCCTTGTTGACTGCAGTTTATTATTTTTGCTCTTTTAATAGGCTCTATTCTCGGCTCTATTCCTACTTGACGCTGTTTTGTTACTTTATTTATTTTTTTTTGACAATTTTGCATACTTTTGCATCTGAGATTTCCATCTGTTCATAACTCGGTTGATAACTTTCCGTTTTTACTTGCGTTTTTATTGGAAAATAGAGAACACAGTGTTGATTTTTTCACCAACAAATATTTGTCCCAGACTTTTATTTTTAGAAGGCTTTAGGGTCTAATGGTATGTGCTAATGTAATGCAGGGCTGGCCGCCAACACTGGAGCGAATAAAGAGTCTATTTTTCTTGACAGTAGGATACCGCAGTGAAAACTCACAGAAAACAACAGTTTAATCGCTAATAAATAACATAAAATAGCAAGAAATTTGCCTGTCAGTCTATCTTTGCCGACTGCGCTGACTCTTACTATAAACAAATAAACGCGCATGCGCGGTACGCGATTGTACCTTAAAACAAGTGATGGTGTACGCGATTGCCAATGCGATTGTCAGATTGCGACAGCGATTGTGGGGCAGCAAATGCGATTGTAGGATTGTTTTACAGAGATTGTGAGATTGCAAACCCGATTGTGGGACTGCGACTGAGATTGTCACGGAAATTTAAGTGATTGCAAGCGATTGTTGAGAATTTGTGACAGTATTGCGGCAAGATGTTACCCCCTCGTAACATACATAAATAAAACTGTTTTAATAAATTTGTCTTACTCCGCCCATGCTTCATAAAGAAAATGCCGACCCCAGGAGAGTTTTATTTTTTTCACTGTCTCATTTGACTATCGATAGACTATAATAGGTGATCAATAATTATACCTAAAGTTTAAATATTAAATGGCACCTTACATTAGTGTAAGTATAATATTTAAAAATTCAATCTTGTGAATTCAAAAGAAAATTTTGAAAAAATCCAAAAAAAAAACACTACCAAAGTCAGTTTTTCAGGATAATAACAATAACCTCCTTTGTTTAATTTGACAACAGAGGATTGCTGATTTCATCATTCAAAAATTAAATTTCAAATACTTTCCAATAAAAATAAAATTATTCTTTAAATAATATACCTACCTATAGTCGAAAAATTCCTGCCGGATTCACTAGGTGATAAATGACGGCATTTTTTATTCATTGAATTTTTTTATCGCAGGTGAATGCATTAAATAGTTTTTACTATCGCAAATTCGTGCTATTTTTAGAATGAATGATGTTTAAATATTAGAAGGTTGATAATAATTTTCAATTTAAAATGTAGGAATTTGATTTGCGTTTGCAACTTGCAGACACAAAAAAAATTAAGAACTAATAGAAACTACAAAAAAAAAACTTTATTTTTTCCCAAGATAGATTTTGACATTGAAAACTTTGAAACATAAACAATAACGCTTGACCTTGATTGGTGGCAAAATGAGGTGTTTCTGCAGGTTGACATCAGTTTTACAATAGCGACCAATAAGCGGCATTGTTTATGTTTCAAGGTTGACAATGCCAAAATCTATCTTGGAAAAAAATAAACTATATATAAGCCACTTGTGAAAGAAATAAAAATAGAAAAATCACAAAAAATCAAGTTAAAATTTTACAAAAATAGGCCTAAAATACAATTTAGTCCTCCTTTGGTAACCTCAAAGGCTAAAATTAGTTAGTCAAAGTTCTATTAGCACAACCATATGAAATCAATGTCTAGAGAAAACTATCTTAGGGCCCCTTTTTCGAGCCCTAAAAAAATGAAACAAAGCTTCATATAAACTCAAAAAATAACATAAATCATGTTCAATTTATATTTACCATTGTCGATTTTTGAGGCTGAAAATCATCGTCCCAGTCGTCACCCATTTTTCTCGTCTCTGGGGCTTTTTTAACAAAAAACGAAGATTATTTGTTGCCCGGTCTTCTTACAAATTCTTGTTCCGAAATTAGGAACACCGGCTCAGATTATTGAAAATTTGACACGAATTTTTCTTTCCGGTGCTCTAATCGGAAAAGAAAAATGAGAAAAGCCGGTTTCCCGAGTTGAGTTTACGAAAAATGTGTTTGGCTTTCCCTTGGCAACTGCAGAGGAAGTGCGGAAATGGCCATTGCTGAATGCCGATTCGCGAATGACGGTTCGATTTTGGCGGTTTATTTTGACATTTGACACCGACTACTCTTGGTTCTATAAGCGTACTGGAACACTCTAGAGTAAACTAACATTTCGAACTAAAAGTGTAACTCCATAATTATTACTCGAAATTAGAGTGATAAAAGTTTATACAACTTGAATAATGCCACAATCTGTGAAATAGCGTTATTCGAATAAAGTTTAAAAAGCTATTCAGCAGGAAATTAAGATAGAATCGGAGCAAGTTTTTCAAAGTAAAGTAGTCTCGGACAATACGGGACTTTTGGAGCAAAAAAAATATCGAACAGTAATGTTTAAATTATTCCGCTTTAAATAAAAGTCGTATATCTTTATTTTGATTTTTCAAACAATATTAAATAATGTAATATTTGTGCAAATTTTAAAGTAATTTAGACTTTGAGACTTTTATTTTACACTGGCCGAGTTCGTTTTTGTCATCTTTTTCGTCGATTTGCTCAGAAATTTTGACAGGCACGTGACTGGATAAAACAATTTCAATTTACAAATCACGTCCCTGTCAAAATTTCGGAGCAAATCGACGAAAAAGATGACAAAAACGAACTCGGCCACACTGACTGTAGTTTCTCTGAAGATTATTGTTCTCGAGGATAAATTTTTGGAGTAAGCTCTCGAGTAAGCTCCATCTATTCGATTCTGTACCTCCGAACCTGCACATAAAACCCGAACGAAACTTGTCCGGAGTAACTGGAGCCGAATTGATTTACTCTAGAGCAGTGGTTCCCAAACTGGAAGGCGTATGTCTTCTAAAAAATTAATACAAATTTTAAGCTTAACACGTTCACGACCGCTATTATGAAATTTGACGATGCTTGAAACCAATGCTTGAAACTCAATGCTTGAAACCAACCGCGTTTTTTTGGTTAGCATAACTTTTGACAAATAATATATTTTTTACAGGTTAATATGTGTTTTGTTATACAGTGAGTACGTAAAGGTTGGAATAAAATCTATAAAACATACAGGGTGGATATTTTCCAAAAAACCTCGGACACGTCAATTTTGGATTTTATTGGCCGTTTTTTTGATGATGTATGATGTATTGGTGCATTTCCATGATTTTATATTAAAAATAAAAAAATATTATTATCAACAACGCTTCATATTTAACATTGCACCTCAGTTACTTCACTCCACTTATCGCTAAAAGACTTCTTTCAAGAGGTTGAATTTTTGAAGTGAGCTCCATGTATGTGAATCCGAACAATGAGAGTTCCTATTGAGTTCCTGGAGCTAGATCAGCTGCATTCAACAAGTGACTCATTTATTTGAGAAATCGACAAGCTACCCTTTTTGAATAAAGAGATTGCATTCCGTTTTTCGAACTGAGTTCTCCGAGTTTGAACTTACCGTTCGTTTATAAAAAGTATGCTCGGTGCAAGCACATTCGTGTACGTATTTTATATTAAAATTTCGAGCGCTCTGATAAAGCTCAGTCGTCTCCGAATTTAATAGCAATTTCGACTTTTGCTTCAAAACTGCACCAGAAAATTCAATGATCGATCCAAATAATAGATTCACATGTTCGGCTTTGCTCTTAGCGAGATTCACGTGTTGGACAATAAAATGCTCTCAATTCTCATACGCCAGCACTCTTTTTGCTCCGTCAAATTCGATGGATAAAAAGTTTCATTAAAAAACAATAAAGTACGTTCATGTCGTTCATCTATTGATTTCAAATGGTGTGCCTCGTTTAATCGCTCTCGGAGCACTCCCGCAGAGATCTGTGACGTCACGTCACCGCCTAAATAGGTGGGGAACGCATTAGTTCTTTTCACGTGGCTCCGGTTTAACTAACCGGGTTACAAAACGGTTAGAGAAATGACATACCGTTTTCTAACCCGGTTACAAACTGACGTGATGGATACTTACCACTCGAATTTGAGCGGTATGTTGCGGTTTGTTAAACCGGAGCCACGTGAAAAGGGTTTTTGGTAACAAAAGCCGAAAATGTTATTATTTAGCTAACCTTGCATTCGGTATTTTGATCTGACTGCCCCGAGCTTGAAATTATCGTTCGTTTAGTTAAAAAGTGTGCTCGGTGTTTTGAACACGCCCCCAAAGCTGTTTCGGAGTTCCTCCATGAAAGGAATACGACTTTATCAAAATTTGGAGAGCTCTAAGCTCTAATACCGCGTTCAACTGCTGTATGCGCTCGCTGGTCACGTAATTACGGCTCAAAATATCGAACGCAAGCTAAGAACCTAAGCTGGTTTCGAGTATGGGAGTGTGACGCTCGGAGTTACTCGGAGCGTGGAGCTCCCGAGCTATACGTGCGGACAAACATCACACTCCATGATCTGGAACGGTATAAATCTAGTGCGTGCCGCCGCTCCCGGAAAGCAGCTCTATTCGGCTAAATTGCTTCCAGGGTCCTTATTCAGCAGCGTTCCCAGAAGAACGAGTATTCAGTCTTTGTTACTTTTATCATTTACGTATCATTGAGAAAGACGGAACACTCGTTCTCCTGGGAATGATGCTCCCCTGTTTCAAGAATACGAACTATGAACGCTTGAACGTGTCGTCACAGATATTTTCGGGGTGCTTAGGAGAGCGATTATATTCAAAAGAAGGTACACACCGAATACACTTGTGTTTTGATCAAACTCTTTGATCCAATAACTTAACGGAGCAAGAAAACGCACTCCATACAGGATTCGAGAACGTTTTTTTGCTTAGGGCGGGTATTATAAAACTACTTTGAGAGTTAACTTCTGGAATTACATGTAATTCAAAAAGTTAACTTCAAGTTAACTGTCAAAGCAGTTTTATAATACCCGCCCTTAGTCGAATACATGAATCTCGCCGAGAGCAACGCTTCGTTTCAAGCTGAACATGTAAAGCGTTTTCGGATCGCCATTTGATCAATCTGGTGCAGCTTTGAGGCAAAAGTCGAAAGCGCTATACACTTGCTAGGGGATGTTCCGATATAATCGTGACATCTACTCGTTCTGCTCTAGGGTAAATTATAACGGATTGCATGAAAAAGAGCAAGCAAATTTAGTAGCTGTGAACACGGCGCTGTGAATTTTTTTTTGCAACTTTTGCAAGGTATTTAGCAAGTGTTTTTTGTTCAGATCCACTACTTTTATGCCAAAATCACTCATTCACATTGAAAACACCGTTCCAACTATCTACGTAAGCTTGTTTATTGAATTTGTCTGTTATTTGTTACGTCACCGTAGATGCTCCGTGTTATTTATAATTCGCACTTACGCGAATTCGTTCTTTTTTGACATTGTTTCGACAATTTAACGTTTTTAGCCTAGTACCATACCTAATACTTATCAAGGATGATACACACTACTATTACAGGATGGTCTATCCTCATAAGGCCTGTGTGTAACAATTCCCCCCCCCCCCCCATTGCCAAACAACCAGTTGTGACGTAAGCAGCATGGCGTTTCTCGCCTTGATGTAGGCTGCTTAAACAGCTGGCGACTTAGTAATGACGTCGGCAATGGTTGAAAACAGTTTAAAACCAATATGGCGGCGATTACCAAAAACGAGGCCGATAAGCACTCCTTAGAGTGTGTATTCTCCTTGAGTACTCATAACAGCGAAATTCGCTCTTTTTTGACATTGCTTCGACAATTTGACGGTTTATGCGTGAATCAAACGTCAAATTGTGGAAGCAATGTCAAAAAAGAGCGAATTTCCAGCAAGTGAGAATGAGGCATTATACTCTTCAACGTCCTCAACAAATATATTCAATATTGAACACTTGCACTTTACTTGGCTCTAAAAATCTCCTTCCACGGGGTTGAATTTTTTGAGTTGACTCCATCTACTCGACTCCGCTTAAAGCTTAGTACTCATAACTGCGTAATTCGCACGTTTTTGACATTGTTTCGACAAATTAACGTTTTATGCGTGAATCAAACGTCAATTTGTCGAAGCAATGTTAAAAAAGTGCGAATTTCGCAGTTATGAGTACAAGGCTTTAGTCGCGCTTTCATTAGTTGTATTCCTTTCAAGAGTTTGAAACACTCGAGCTACTCACTCCGGTGTTTAGACGCCCTCGATTTGTAGATGCGTGGTGCAAGATCAGTGGTTCAAACCGACATGAGAACCGTTCCAGAACCAGTAATTTCAGTTACCCACCTATTTTTCAATGAGTTGAAAATTTATCCTACTTGACAAATGAATTGATCGACTGGAAGTTACTGTTCTAGAACGGTTCCTACGAAAAATACTTGGGGCTGAATTCAGCAACATTGACATTCGAGTAGACTTATTGTACTCCGGAATATATTCACTCCTGTTCAGTTCAAAAAGGGCATTGAAATTGAAATGATTGTGAATTTCATATAGTCACTAAAAATGCTGCTCTAACTCTACTCGAGGATTCATGGAGTTCGTGAGACGCCTATGACGTCACCGTAGATGCGTCATGTCGCGAAAACGTAGAATAAAAAACTAAAAAGTGCGTTTTTCTTTAAAAGATAAAAGTCAAAATGACATTATGTTGGCAATACAATGTAAAATTGTCAATGCTTTCAAATTTTTTATGTAGAAAAGGCTTGTGTTGCCAACAAAGTTACTAAATTTTTGACTTAAGGAATTATCTTTAAAAAAAAAACGTACTTTACTATTGATTTCATTTCTATGGTTTTTAAACCATACACTTCATAAAATTATACAAAATCGATCAATAGTTATTTATACACCAAGTGAGTTAAATTAATGTTTATTCATGAGAAGAAAGTTTAACCCAGGGTGTACCTATTTTGCTGATCAGCAAATTGCTGATAATGCAGTTTTTGGCTGGATAAGCAATTTAATCGAATGCGATCAGTTTGTAAAGTTGCGGTCAGTTAGTAGAAGTGATGTGAGCCATGCAAACAATTGCCGCCTCCGTCCGCATCCATTGTCGCCCCCAGAATAAAAAATACGCCTGATGTATTGAATTTTCAATCCGATTTGATGCAGTCACTTAGGATGGGTGCTGTCAACATCGAAAATCATATGTAGAAAATGACCGCCGCCGACCGCAGTTGTTGCCGCCCCTCAGAATCAAAAAAACGCCTGAAGTATTGAATTTTTAATCTGGGGGGCTTTATTTGAAATGAGTAATTCAAATTCGTCTCGCTAAGTCGAAATTTTTAGCAGTGAAATATCGGCAAAAATTGCGACTTATTGAAACGAATTTGAATTGCACATTTCAAATAAACCCCCCCTGATATGATGCGGTCAATTAGGATGAGTGTTGTCAACATCAAAAATGATATGTAAATGACCGCCGCAGCCGTTGCCGCCCCCCAGATTCAAAAAAACGCCTGATGTATTGAATTTTTAATCCGATCTGATGCGGTCACTCAGGAAGGGTGCTGTCAACATCAAAAATGATATTTAGAAGATGACCGCCCCCGACCGACGCCGTTGCCGCCCCCCAGAATTAAAAATACGCCTGATGTATTGAATTTTCAATCCGATTTGATGCGATCACTTAGGATGGGTGCTGTCAACATCGAAAATCATATGTAGAAAATGACCGCCGCCGACCGCAGCTGTTGCCGCCCCTCAGAATCAAAAAAACGCCTGAAGTATTGAATTTTTAATCTGATTTGATGCGGTCAATTAGGATGGGTGCTGTCAACATCAAAAATGATATGTAGAAAATGACCGCCGCCAACCGCAGCCGTTGATGCCGCCCCCCAGAATCAAAAAAACGCCTGATGTATTGAATTTTTAATCCAATTTCATGCGGTCATTCAGAAAGGGTGCTGTCAACATCAAAATTGATATTTAGAAGATGACCGCCCCCGACCGCCGCCGTTTCCGCCCCCCAGAATTAAAAATACGCCTGATGTATTGAATTTTCAATCCGATTTGATGCGGTCACTTAGGATGGGTGCTGTCAACATCGAAAATCATATGTAGAAAATGACCGTCGCCGACCGCAGCCGTTGCCGCCCCCCAGAATCAAAAAAACGCCTGATGTATTGAATTTTTGATCCGATTTGATGCGGTCATTCAGAAAGGGTGCTGTCAACATCAAAAATTATATGTAGAAGATGACCGCCCCCGACCGCCGCCGTTTCCGCCCCCCAGAATTAAAAATACGCCGGATGTATTGAACTTTCAATCCGATTTGATACGGTCACTTAGGATAGGTGCTGTCAACATCGAAAATCATATGTAGAAACTGACCGCCGCCGTTTCCGCCCCCCAGAATTAAAAATACGTCTGATGTATTGAACTTTCAATCCGATTTGATGCGGTCACTTAGGATGGGTGCTGTCAACATCGAAAATCATATTTAGAAAATGACCGCCGCCGACCGCAGCCGTTGCCGCCCCCCAGAATCAAAAAAACGCCTGATGTATTGAATTTTTAATCCGATTTCATGCGGTCATTCAGAAAGGGTGCTGTCAACATCAAAAATTATATGTAGAAGTTCACCGCCCCCGACCGCAGTCGTTGCCGCCCTCAGAATCAAAATTACGCCTGAAGTATATCAAGCACATTTTTGATTCTGGGGGGGGGCGCAACGGATGCGGTCGGGGGCGATCAATTCCCACATAAATTTTTTCATGTTCACAGTGTTATGTATGTTGTTTAGGAAGTATGAGGCATCAAACAAACATAGAAGGTTTATAACTTTAATAACAGATTAGAAAATACAGCTTAACACAAGGGGCTATGATTGACAACTTGCAATTTTATGACGACCCAACTGACACCACAAGTACTACTTGTCAGTTGACAAAGCTGTGCATAAAGGTTGGTTGCCACCTACAATAATTACAAAACTCACACGTATATCACACACAGCGCCCTTACTAAGAACCAGCATCAGATCGGATTGAAAGTTCAATACATCAGGCGTATTTTTAATTCTGGGGGGCGGCGGTCGGGGGCGGTCATCTTCTAAATATCATTTTTGATGTTGACAGCACCCTTTCTGAGTGACCGTATCAAATAGAATTGAAAATTCAATACATCAGGCGTTTTTTTGATTCTGGGGGGCGGCAACGGCTGCGGCGGTCATTTTCTACATATGATTTTCGATGTTGACAGCACCCATCCTAAGTGACCGCATCAAATCGGATTGAAAGTTCAATACATCAGGCGTATTTTTTATACTGGGGGCGGCAATGGATGCGGACGGGGGCGGCAATTGTTTGCATGGCTCACATCACTTCTACTAACTGACCACAACTTTACAAATTGATGGCATTCGATTAAATTGCTTATCCAGCCAAAAACTGCATTATCAGCAATTTGCTGATCAGCAAAATAGATTTTCCCTTTAACCCACGAGCTCTAGCGAGTGGGTTAATTTTCTTCGAATGAATAAACATTTTAACTAACGTGATTTATACAAAATTTTATCCCATTTTGATGGACATTTAAAAAGTAAGGAATCAAATTATAAAAAGAATTCATTTAGTAGTTATGAAAGCGCTAATTATTGAAATTGGTGGTTGCTAAGGTATAATTTTGTTTGTATTTGTAGCAGATTTTTATACTGGCAGAGTGACTTAAAAGACCGAGAGTGAGTTAAAAATATTTTAAGTCACTCAGGTGATAAACGTCTACTTACCTTTGTCATTATGCGTTCAATAATAGGCCTGTTCGCACAGCAATCACAAACCATTCAGAGCGAATTTCATTGGTTGAAAACAATCAGAAACAGTCAGAAAACTAGTTTCAACCAATGAGATTCACTCTGACTGGTTTGTGATTTCTCTGCGAACAGACCTAATGTCATTTTTAAACGTCAAAATGGGATAAAATAATTTATATCAGGTAACTTAATGATCTTGATCAGAGGATTAGAGCTACGAAATTGCTATAGCAATCAGAAGGAGAAAAAACTGGCCCTTAGTAAAATAAATTTTCTGGAAAAGACAAATACATATGCTCTTTTTTGTCTAATTTTTGGGTTTGCCAATAAGGTAAGGCCAATACCATTAAGGCCAATACTAATGTCTGATTTAAAAACAACATTGAGCAAATTTAAATTTATTAATAAAGAAAAAAATATCAATAAACTATCAAATACATAAATAATACATAGGTATAGTTCACTCTAAAAAGCCACAATAGTACAAATTAAACTACTATTAAATGCCCATATTTTCAATAAAATAAAGTTAAAAATATAATTAAAATTAAAAGTTTTGCATACAAGCTGCCCACCTGAAATGTAATCACAAAGTTTTATAATAGGTATGGCATGGCACTATAAAAAAATTATGCAAATTACATAAAAAAATCTCTTAACTGGTTTGTCAGATTTGCAAAGAACACAAAAAAAATCACAATAATTAATTGACTAGCTTAAAACAAAAGGAAAAATAATATGATGGCATTAATCTTAAAAACTAATATAAATTTTTGCTAAAATTCTGAAAAATAATAATTAACAATTTGGTGAAAAAACTTTGGTGTAGAATTTCAAATTGAAACTAACAATTATACCTAGGCCAGTGATTTAGGCCACAAGAGATCGATTAATTTTTGTATGGAAATTTTTAATTTTACGATTGATTTTAAAAAAAGTCAATTTTCAACAAACTTTTTGTTGATGTAAAGATGGTTACATAATAATGGTACAATATACATACACATAGTAATAAGGTCAGAAAAAGTCATGTAAAGTTTACTTTCCCGATATGTGAGGTAGGTACAACATTTTTTTCTAAACAAGAGTGTAATTTTTCATCAGTATTTTGTGAATGTGCGTTACAACAGGAAACAATTAGGTGAGTTTGGTCACTTCTATGTTATTTTCTTTGGTCAAGTTTCCATCAAAAATAGCAACAAAAATGTTAAATGTTGCCTCTATCCACATAATTATTTCGGCTCTATATCAATAAATTATCAGATGGCTGAAAATGGGATTTCGTCTCCTGATTTAGTCGTTTCAGGGCTTCGCTCATTTTGTGCCTCACTTTCTCTGCCAAGTCGTCAACGTCATCTGGGCTCAGGCCTTTCGTACTTATCGGTTCCAAAACTTCAATGATCACAGTACCTGGGAAATCATATGTATTTTAATATAGGTACAATAAAAATAAGCTAAATATGTTCTTACCTTGATCGAATCTTTTGTTGGGGCTGTCCAAAAAATAATAAGTGCTAAAAACTACAGGCATCACTGGTAGCTGAGCAGTTATGGCTGCATGGAAGGCCCCTTTTTTAAAAGGATGAATTTCCCCTGTGTTTCTTCTGGTGCCTTCCGGAAATATCCACAATTTAGTCTGGAAGAAATTAATGAAACAAAATCTTAGACAAAGAATTTATGAAATAAAAATCTAAAGTAGGTACCAATAATTTAAATTTTCCAAGTTAAAATTATTATTAAAATAGGAAAGCTATAATAATATGTCTAAATTCAAAATTTAGTCATAAAAGAAGTGTTCAGTTTCGTCTACACGCCCTGTATATAGTTGTAGGTTAAATTGGGTATTTAGGATCTTAAATCCTATTTGGGAATGGAAATTGATTCGTTTTTCTTTATTTTTTTGTTTTCTCTTATTCTAATATTGAATTGCGCGTGCTCTATGTCTAAGAATATGCTTTGCTATTTGGCTTTTAAAAATGCGCGCGTTAAACACTGAAAACGGTACCGGCAAGTCCTAACACTTCCTGCCGACAAAGCAGTACCAGTTACCAAAAACACTTCGCCCGCTTCGTATGGTTCGAGAAAATAGACCCGCGGTTTTTCGTTTGCCGCGACCGGTTAAATCAAGACGGTTTCGTTGCATTCCTACGCATGGGACCTGAACTTCCTGAATGAGCTGGCCAGCTGAGTGGAGTTTGGAAGTAGAGCAAGGTAAGGTGAAAAAATATCCTTTTCAGATTCGATATCTTTCAATTTCAATTTGAAATCATTCATCGATTACCATTCTATCAGCAACCTGTGGATTTTCCAGTTTTGATTTCGCACAAGAAGTCCTAAATTATATCCATTAAAATCATTACAAAAATTATTTAATGATTAGTTTCCAGGTACTCCTAGGTCATCGACACACCAGAATTTTGTCAGCGATTTATTTTTTTAATTATTGTCGCGGCAGTATCAATTTTGTGTTGAATTAAGCTGGTTCGTCCGGTTGCTTCTTTCAAAATGAAATCTGTGGCTTCTTGAAGTCTATCTGGATCGAGATGTTTCCATGATTTCGCCAACGTCTGCATCAAGATGTTTGTATCCAATTTGGATTTCACAAAATGTCGCTTATCTGGTAGGTCACAGTTCGATATTTGCTTCACTGGTTCGAGAGCTCCAATAATGTCTCCTTCCTTTATTCTTACTGTTTCGGAAGAAACATTGGCAATTCTTATCATAATGTCCCCATTTGTTCTTACTAGAGTCTTTCCAACAAGAAATCTTTCTGGTTTATCTCCAATGAAATTACGTGTTAGCCCAACGCAGCACCCAGGGTTTGTTTCTAATCTTCCGCAAATGATCTTGTCAGTACTTCCAGGAATCCTCACTGGGGTTGTGGCCAAGATCTTATCGGCATCGGATTCTTCTTGTGTTGTTAGTACAATTTCTTCATTACCAAATTTAAGGATATTCATGGAAGGATCAAAGGAGAAACCATGTTGGCCGATCAAATCCATTCCCAAAATAAAATCATCTTCTATATCGGCGACTAATGTTCTGTGCCTGAAGGTGGTAGGTCCAAAAGTGAGCTCAACCATCGCTTCTCCTTGAACTGGTGCAGATTCACCGGTGACTGTTCGTAGTGACAGGTTTCTAGTGAGCGGTTGGATTGCCCGAGACTTGATTAATGTTTTTCTAGTTATGGAAACTTCACCACCCGTATCAAAAGTGATGGTTTTCAATTCCCCATTGATTTGTCCTTCGAATTTTAATCCTCTATAATGACTGCCCAATGATTTTATGTACACAACTCTGGGGGCTTCGTCATTACTAGCCAGCATCCTCCCTTCCGTACTAGTTGGTTCCTGTTTGTTATTAGGGCTGGCGTCTCTAGACCTTGTGAAGCGTTGAGAATGATCCCCAGATGGAAAGGACATCCTTAGTCTACAATCCCATTCCATGTGTCCAAGCGTTTGGCACCGGTAGCATTTTACTCGGTTTCTCGGTGTTGGGGTTTGTCTGGAATCGTTCCCCATTTTTCTATCTTCTAATAACAGTTTCTTTATTCTCTCCATGAAATTACTCATTTTGGCTTCGAAGCTACCATCCTCTTTTGACAACTGTTTATCTTTTGGGTCTTCAATGGACACTGCTCGTATTCTGGGTCGTGAAGCACCAAAGATTGCTTCCAGTTCTAATGCTCGGACAAGGGCTTCGCTACTTTGTCTGAACTTAGACATTCTTAGGTTTTCCTGGATCTTCGAATCTCTGAGACCATCAATAAACGCAGATACTGCCATCCATTCCTGCATGTCTTCCCCAGCTGCAGGAAACGCCAAACTCACTAGCCTTTTAACTTCCGATTCAAATTCTTGTAGACTCTCGCCGGGTTTTTGAACTCTTGATTTAACTTGAGTTCTGAATACTTCTTGTCTGTAATGGTCTCCGAAGCGCAATTCTAAAGTTTGACTAAGATGCTGGTAATTCTGTTGGCAGATTGAAGGAATGGACTGAAGAAGATCTAAGGCTGGTCCTCCTAGTGCCACTATTAGTGCTGTAGTTTTTTCTTGGTCGTTCCATCCGTTGGTATTTGCAGCAGCTTCAAATTGTCGAATATACATGGTCCAGGACGTAGAACCGTCGAAAGTTGGTGGTTTTTTCTTCATACTGGAGAATGCTCCAACACTAGCTGAATTGTTGGACTGTATTTCTAATCTACGCATCTTATCTTCGAGTGCTTGAACTTGGTCTTCAACTTCTTGTCTTAATTGCTGAACATCGGCTTTGACCTCAGCTTTAACTCCCTGAACGTTGTTTTTAACTTCTTGAACATCGATTTTGACTTCAGTTTTTTACTTCGACGTCGTGTTTAACTTCTTGGACATCGTCTTTAACTTCTTCAATCTTCTGGTCTAGGTTAGCGACAGTTCCTTGTATGGTTTGGAATATCTTCTGTAGTTTTCCAAGGTCTTCTTGCCGTTTTTGTTGTCGCCTAGCTTCTTCTTCTCGTTTTTCTTTTTGTCGTCTGGCCTCTTCTTGTTGTCGTCTAGCTTCTTCGTCTTGTTTTTCTTGTTGTCGTTTGGTCTCTTGAAGTTCCAACATTTTGCGCAGGATTTCTTCAACTTTTTGTTTGTCCATTTTGGCTTGTTGTCTTGTGATAGGCATATACAGAATGTTCTAGAATTTCCCCCGAACTTTCTTCAAATATCTTTTCTGGTCTTTGCTCGAAGTTCCAACACGCCGGTGAAGTCACAAATTGAATAACTTGCTTTATTCTAGAATCGAATGTTCTGGAATTTTCTTGAAACTTCTTTTCTAGATGTCGATTGGTACAGCAAACACGTCGGTGAAGTCACAATTTCGATATCTCCCTTGGTTTCCAAATAGAATGTTCTAGATTTTTCCCGAAACTCCTCGAAAAACCTCTTCTGAATGACGATTGATGTTCCGAATACGTCGGTGAAGTCACAAATTCGATATCTCCCTTAGTTTCCAAATAGAATTTTCTAGAACTCACTCGAAGATTCACTATCACAGTCTAAATGGGGTATAGAGTCACTTCCGGGGTAATTCACACGATCGGTTGAGTTTCTTTTTGTGATTGTCACTGTTTGCACTGCACTAACTGTCCCAGTGTTCAGTTTTTATACTACACTAGTGTCCCCGCACTTCCGTAATTGGATTTCACTCTGCAGTCCTTTATATCCCACTTCTGAAACCAATGTCACGGCATTGGATTGCCTGACAGAAATCTTGGGTTCGTTGTTCGTTTCGTTTATTCCAAAAATCAAAGTCCAATTAACACAGCAATAATTTATTCCACTTAACAATACACTCTGACACTAATTACTTTAATAACAAACTCAACAATGAAACTCTTTATAATCACTATTTAAATCGTATCACAGTCGAACTGAAAACTTAACTTACAAACCATTGCCGGCCTTCTTATATATCCCTAAATCTATTCCTGTAAAATCTAGAATACACACGATAATCTAATTTTCCTAGGGTTTCCATAAAGGTTTTTCGGAATTCAGGAAAAATGAGTCAAGAAATCCGGACAAAATCCAGACTTCGCCGAAATAGTTATTGAGAGTGTGTAAAGTGAAAGGCGAGTGTGACAAAATTCACATTTGTAAAAAAAGGTTCACTTCACACACGTATTGCATAATATACAAACAATTTTCTACTACCAATGAAATATGTCTATGTGAAATATGTGTAAAAAAATAACTTTAGACAAAAACTTTACGCATACGCACTAATGCGTAAAGTAATTTACTAGAAAAAAATTACAGTGTCGACATCTGTCATTGACCTTATTTCACGCACTAGTTAGTAGGCAATTTTTCGCGAGGATAACATTGGAGGATAATCAAGCATAATCTGATTATCCTGGGTTATGTGATGTGTCAACTGTGCCATACTCCCCTAACTCCCTCACCCTTCAATTCTGGGCTTGCGAGTGACGTCACTACCAGCAGTTTATAGTGATGACGTCACCTGCAGTCCACGATGGAATGCTTGCGATTCAGGTTGTGCTAGTGAGTTAATTTTTTCGTCGATTTCAAATGTAGAAAGTTTTCGGTCTGTTCTCACAGAAGAAGTTAGGGGCCGGATTTATAGTCGCTGCTTGAGGTTTCCTCATGCCTTAAGAAGGCTTTGAACGTTTAGAATTGAGATGACTAACTTGTCAAATAGTAGCAAGTGTCCATTCTAAACTCACGACCTTCAAGGAAGACCCAAGAAACGACTATAAATTCGGCCCTAAGTGTTCTTGATCCTCGAGTATCCCAGAATTTGATGATGGGTGAGTTAGGGGAGTATGACACAATTGACATATCACATAATCTAGCATACTCGAGTATGCTTGGTTATCCTCGCGGAAAATTTCCTACGTACTAATGCGTGAAGCAAAATTTACGTCTTTTGCATAGTGCGTAAACTGAGTATGAGTGTTTCCACGATCTCTGAGTTTTCCGGACATTGTTCCGAATTCCAGCCGGACTTCCCCGGACACCCTAAAAACCCAAACATGTCCGGGTGAATCCGGACGTATGGAAACCCTAAATTTTCCAGATTAAAGTAGAATAATTCGCTAGATTCTAGCATTTTCGCCATCGATTCTTGACAGCCTGGCGGACGCCT